CCAGGACAGTCACCCCAGGACTGTCACCCCAGGACTGTCACCCCAGGACTGTCACCCCAGGACAGTCACCCCAGGACTGTCACCCAGGACTGTCATCCAGGACTGTCACGCCAGGACTGTCACCTAGGACTGTCATCCCAGGACTGTCACCCAGGACTGTCACCCCAGGACTGTCATCCCAGGACTGTCACCCCAGGACTGTCATCCCAGGACTGTCACCCAGGACTGTCATCCCAGTACAGTCACCCCGGACTGTCACCCCAGGACTGTCACCCTGGACTGTCACCCTGGACTGTCACCCCAGGACAGTCACCCCAGGACCGTCATCCCAGGACAGTCACCCTGGACTGTCACCCCAGGACTGTCACCCTGGACTGTCACCCCAGGACAGTCACCCAGGACCGTCACCTGGGACCGTCACCCAGGACTGTCACCCCAGGACCGTCACCCAGGACTGTCACTGGGCTGTGTGCTGAGCCCCGAGACCCAGTGACGCAGGACGCGTGTCACCCCGCTTGGCTGGTGAGGACGGCGAGGCGGGGAGGCCCAGCCTCCACCTGAGGTTGCACAGTCGGGCCCCAGATCTGACCCCAGGGAGGACGGGGGGGGGGACGGGCAGAACGCCACCGGGACAGGGCCTGGGTCCCGCCCCGCCCTGCCCCGCCTCCCCCGCGGGCCTCAGGCGGCCGCTTCTCCCTCAGCCTCCCTCTCCGGCCTCCTGGTCTGCAACACGGAGCTGGCGCGTGTGCTGCAGCGCCTTGGGGCTTGATGGGGAAGCCAGGTGCTCCTGAGGGGAACAGCATGAGGCACAGAGGAGGCGCTCGGACGTGGGAGCTGGTCGTTATCATCATTACGGACTCCGTCATTCCTGGTTGCACCGCGGTCCCCTCCCCTCCTTGATGTGTGTGTGGGGGTGTCTCTGTGACTCCGGGTCCCAGCGTGCGCCTCCCCTGCTCACCCCACCCCCAGCCCGGGGCTGCCTCCCAGACTCGCTCTCCCCAGATGCCCTCTGCGCTCTCTCCTGCCTCTGGGCCTTCCCACTCGCCTTCCCTCTGCCAGGAGGCGCTCCCACCCGGTCCCTGAGGCCGGGCTCCAGGAGGCCCTCCCACCTGGTCCCTGAGGCCGGGTTCCAGGAAGGCCCTCCCACCCTGTCCCCTGAGGCCGGGCTCCAGGAGGCCCTCCCACCTGGTCCCTGAGGCCGGGTTCCAGGAAGGCCCTCCCACCCTGTCCCCTGAGGCTGGGCTCCAGGAGGCGCTCCCACCCTGTCCCCTGAGGCTGGGCTCCAGGAGGCGCTCCCACCCTGTCCCCTGAGTCAGGGCTCCAGGAAGGCGCTCCCACCAGGTCCCCTGAGGCCGGGCTCCAGGAGGGGCTCCCACCCGGTCCCCTGAGGCCGGGCTCCAGGAAGGCGCTCCCACCCGGTCCCTGAGGCCGGGCTCCAGGAGGCGCTCCCACCAGGTCCCCTGTGTGTGGGGGGGGCAGGAGCCTGGGCGGGGCTCACCTGGTCAGGGGCGGAGATGCGCCCGGCCAGCAGAGGGTCGCAGCCGCTGTAGAACGCGAACATGACGACGCCGCAGACGGCGGCGCTGGACACGATCAGGAAGAGGCCCAGCTGGTTGACGAGCAGGGCGCTGGGGGGAGGGGCGGCCTCAGGCGGGGGAGGGGGAGGGGCACACGTCCCAGGAGCCCCCGCCCTGCCCCCCAACACTCACAGCTTGGCCTGCCTCTCCGAGCGGCAGGCCACGTAGCGCTGCACCTGAGCCTGGTTCACGCCGTACATGGACAGCCACAGCAACGTGCCGCCCACCGCCAATGTCCAGAATGTGTAGCGGCTCCTTGGGTCAGGGTCAAAACTGGGTGGGGACAGGGCGAGTCAAGCCATGTGGCCACGTCACCTTGACGTTACTCTTCCAAGGGCCCCAGCCAGCCGGCTATTCTGTCCCCTGTGGGCCTTAAGGGGATATTTGGAGTGGGGTTTTGAAGTATGTGTAGGAGCTTGCCGGACCGAACATTCACTTGTTTGTTCGTCTCTGTATGTGTCCAAATACGGTTCTTTCTTTTTCCCATCTGGGGCCTCAGAGAAGCTTGAGGGCCCCGGTCTGGGTTTGTGTGGGGGGCGGGGGGGCGGGGGTAGGCCAAGCGGACAAAATCTGCACTCTGACACCGGCTCGCAGGGGCCTGGGCCCCAATGAGGGGATAGGGGCTAGGGGAAGTTAAGCAGTGCAGGGAGGGGAAAGCGGGAGGAGGCTTGGGAGAGGAAGCAGGGAAGGGTTCTGGAGGCAGGTGGATATAGGCCCCACGCGGGCTCCCCCGGCAACGGGGGGTTCCCGGCTGGCTGCTTGTGCGGCCCTTTTCTGCGTTCACCCAACTCACTCCAGCAGGTGAGGGAGTGGGTTTCTTCGCAAGCCGCAGCGCCGCGCCCCGCCCCGCGAAGGCCACCGCCCGCGGGGGGCCAGGCGGCCCAGGAAGGCCGGAGCTTTTCACCCCACCGAACCTGGAACACGTCCGTCCAAACCACGGCCCTCATGCCGCCCTGGGGGACGGGGCGGAGGGGGTGCGGTCAGGGGGGCCACCTGGCTGCGGCTCGCCCGGCCTGGCCTCCAGCTGCGGCCGGGGCCGGCGACCCTCTCTGCCTCAGTTTCCCTCTCTGTGAAATGGGGTCAGAGAATTAAACATGTGAACAAGCGAAAAGTATTCTGGATCAGGACTGCCCTCACTTGTCACCGCTGTGGCCACTGTGACCGATAGTCGTCTCCGCCCACCTGCCCACCCCTCCGTGCCTTCCTGGGGCGGCCCGGAACTTTCTCTGGGGAAGCCCTTTCCCCTCTCATTCAGGTGAGGCTACCCCACGCGTAGCCACGCCACACACGGCCCACAGACAGTCCCAGCCC